TAATAGGACAACTAAAAACATATAGAAAAAATTAGCCAGGCATGATGGCGCATGCCTGTAGTCCCAGCTACTCGGGAGGCTGAGGCAGAGGATTGCTTGAGCCCAGGAGTTTGAGGTTGCTGTGAGCTAGGCTGACGCCACGGCACTCTAGCCTGTGCAACACAGTGAGACTCTGTCTCAAAAAAAAAAAAAGAAACTTGCTTCTTAGCACACTCACTTTATTTGAACTTTCGGAGTTATGCTATATAAAAAGACATCATTTTAAGCAGCAATGGTCCAAATGGTAACTAATTCCCTTATAATCACTGATTACATGTTCCCTATTCACTCAGCTGAAAAATCAGAAAGTTACCTCCCAAATCCACAAAATCCAAAATATTAAAAACCTCTGAACAAATAAATATGTGCTGAGGATACCCCACAATAAAAGAGTTTTTCCTCCCTCTCCTTTAAGATAACATTATTTTCTCTTATTCCAAAACTGTTCATGATTTTTAGACTCATCTTTGAGAACAGGGAGGAAATTACCTAATTTAACAGAAAGGCAAGAATCACGATGCGACTGTCCGAGGCAGCTGCAGAGCTTAACACAACCCAATTCAAAGGGGTTCAAACCCAGGAAAGAAAGGTAAAGGAGGCAGATTTTCAGAGGAACTGAGAATGTGTCCGGTTTCGGGTGGACAATACTTTTATTGAGGTATCTGGGGGCATATCAGAGTGGGGTTTATTGCAACACGTGTTCTTATACATCCTGTAGGAAAAGCATGGCCTGGGAGTCCTGTTAGCTGTCACAGCAAAGTTCTTCCACGATCAAACTTTTGGATAAAGTTTGGATAAGAGATCTGGATACTTCAAGCTTATATGTTTCTGTGCTTTGTACTTGCTTTCTTTGCCCTTTGTTTCCTGAGAAGGTTTTCAAATGGCAGAGAGGCCAGTGGTGGAAGTAGCTTCCATAGTAGGAGCCATTGTGCTACCGATGCTGGCAAGTGCGGAGGACATAAGGGAAGCAGGCTGGGAAGCTTAGGATGTGGGAGTTTTCTCCGACGCTCCTATAACTGAGTAAATACTGTAATGTAGTAATAGTCAGAGAAACAATACATTTCTCCTTATACTGCAGGGATAGCTGGGACATGCAGTTAGATAGGGACTGGAAGACTCTGCTTGTGACTTTTCACCTGAAGGCTCAGCCCATCCAGTTACTCAAAGAACCCTGGAGGGGGCGGCTGCGCATATCTGGAAAGCAGGGTAGTGTCCTGAGTCATAATTCTGCCTACCTGTGGCTTTCTCTCCTCTCTCCTTAGGAGGGAGTATCTTCTTGATCTAGCTTTTCAAATCATGATAATAAAGGCTAAATCTCAAAATACCAAGGTTTAAATGCTGTTGAGAAATAATAGCGTAAGAGGAGATGGCAAGGGGTGGGGCTGAGTAATGGGTGAGGCACGTTTGCAAGAGTTAGGCTTAGCTTCAGAGCAACTGCAGCCTTGGTCACTATTTTGCTCCTCTCTACAACTGTTTTAGAGACACTTTGCCCACGCTGGAGGCCCACTGCTTGCTGATGCTAGTTTAACAGTGATGCTTGACCTACTCTCTTAGAACTTGGACTTCTTTCCCATAGTTTTCAGCTTCACTTACAGACAAAGATTGGCCTGTAGAACAAACCAATGGAGTAACAAGGAAAGGTTTACTGTTCCTCATTTAATCAGATAGTTTACCATCTATTTTGCCCCATGATTGAACTGAGCTGCTAAAATCTTAAAATACAGTGGATTTTCCAGGTAGCCTGTATTTTGAGAACTTCCCTCCACTCATCACCGTTTTGACAAAAATAAATCTTAAAAAATGCTCAAAATGCAAAAGAAAACAAACAGTTGCAATCTTTCAATGTGTTTGTTCCCCAGGACCCAAGTGACTTTATCTACAGAGGGAGCTCTTTGAGGCATAAAGTAAGGATTTTGCATTTCAGCTTAAATAGTGATTAAAAGGATTGTGGTTGAAAATAATAGTGTTACAATAATAAAAGAACTGATTATCACCAAAGTCTGTTTAGCGACAGTCACAATGTCAGGTTGCCAAGTTTGAGTTTGAGGTCACAGTCTTTATGTGGGGGGGTGGGGCAGTGAAGGAATTTCTGATTTTTTTCCTTCAATATTTTGTGGACAGGAAAATATTCCAGAGAAACAACCTAGAATTTCAGAATAAAAAGAATATATTTTTCAAAAATCCTACTTAGAGTTCACCAAATTAAAAACACACTTAATTGAGATTTTGCCGAAACACTCCCAGTGAAAAGTTGTTAAGTGAGAAGTTAATAGAACAAGTGCCAGTTCCTTGCTAAACCCCAAATTTTCACACCTTAAAAGATACAATATGTTGAAATGACTTCATATTTAACCTTGTCAAAAAGAAAGAAATCCAAACGTTCCTGGGGGCTTGGACATCTCTCAGTGTCAAGGCTTAGGCAGGAGGCCACCCAAAGATACGGCACCATGTCCAGAGCCTGCATTCTTCTCACTGTTTCAGTCTAAGGCTTTACATGACTTAGCAACTTACTGTAGCCACATTATATCAAGGCCTAACTGCCCTAACATAGGCTCTCTGCCCTGCAGAGGGACAGCTGTCAATGTCGGGAAGCCACCTGTGTCCTGAGAATGAATTGGCACCATTCTCACTGGCACTGAGCCTCTCTGTTGTCCTTGTATTCCTTCCTTGACACCTGCTGCTATGGCTCTACTTCAGGGTGCAACTAGATGAAGGAGTCCTTCTCTTCCTCCCTAGGGCAAGGGTGCAAGGCTATTTTTGGAAAAACGCTTAGGTCATTATTTCAGTTCCTTTTTCTTGTGATCTTCCTTCAGGGAGAGCCTCACAGAACAGGCCCTCAGTCCCTTTTCTAAAATCCATGGACCAGATGTGTTTGGAATTCAACATTTTTTCAGAGATGGTGTTCATAACATATATTACACAAAACTTCCAGTGGAGTTTGAGTCAGCACCTCATAATCAGATACATAAATATTTCTGCAGTGAAATGTTATAAATTTTCACAATAAATAGAATAAATAAAGATTGTAAATAGCCTCAAATGAGTTCAGGGAAAACTTTGCCATCACATGAATTTGAGTGTAAAATTTGCAAAAGAATGGTCAGTTTTCCAGGCATTTTGGATTTTGAAACTGAGGACAAGAGATTTTAGATCTGTATTAGGTTCTCAACAAGTTAAGACAAATTAATCTATTTGTTGTTAGAGAAAGAAGAGAAGGGGATGTATTACAAATAGCCCAAGGGGGCTTTTCAAAGTGATCATTTAGACAAAAAGTTTGGCTATAACTGCACAGGATTTGAGATAAATGAGTTGTTCTTGTCCCTGGCTCCTGTCACATGACCTTGACATATTCTGTCTTCCAGAGCCAGTCTGTGACTGTGCTATTGTCCTGGAATCTGAGCTGCCTTGCTGAGCTGCAGAGAAAGGGACCAGAAGTGGGCAGACCTAACTTCTCTGGGACTCTCAGGAACATTCCCAGACTAGAATAAAAACCTCAACAAGGCAAAAGTGTTGGAGCCAACTGGCATGCTTATTCTATGACTCTATAATAAAGTAATCACACAGTTTGATTTTCTTTTAAGCACATAAAACCAAAAAACATATCTTCTTCTTAATATTGGGGAATTTTTTTTTAAAGCCCAAATCTTTGAAGTTTTAAAGGTGGGATTGGGAAGACTATATTCTATGTCGTCATGCTAGGGACTATTTACAAGGGAAAAAGTAAACTTTCCCTGAGATCAAGGGTTGTCACCAGTGAAGACATATAGAGATCAAGGCTTACTTGGCTTCCAGGGCCAGTGCAATGATGCCCGCAGCCATGGGGGCTGAGGCCGATGTCCCAGTGTGGTTGTCCGTGCAACGCTGCCTCAGATCTGTAGTGATCTAGATAGAAGACAGAAGTGAAAAATTTAGATCTCTGGGGTCAGTGTGAGTCACATGAGAAAGAAATTTGCTCATAAAAGTGGAATGGAGGGAGTTGAAATATTTGTTTTAAATTCCTTGTTCCTACACTCCTATAACCATATCACTTCCAGAGAATTGCCTGTGTATATCAACTACAAAAGGGAAGGGTTTGGAAATTGAACTTCATTTCTGTTAAAACCAGAGTCAGGACCAAGTTCAGCCCATGGCTTGAAACATAAAGGGCGTGCAAATATCTCCTTAAATTTTGCACTGTAGGCACCCTACTTGCCTCACCCGAGAGCCAGTCCTGGTTAAAACTAAAGTTCTTTCATTGGCACAACATTTTTAAATAATCGAACATGTCGAATCAACATCCAGACCCTGAGCCAGGCATTGGTAGCATAAGGAATAAAAGTCCCCAATCCCTGCCCTCCCAGAACTGTTACCTTGAGAGAGCCACAGATTTCAAGCCAAAAGTATGCTCTGCTGTGGGAGGAACTTTGGCTGTGGACCTCTTTCTAGAACTCATAGAAATGTTGCATGGATGAACCAAGACTTCCTCAAAGATTAAACATGGATACTAAAAATAAGGCTGAACCCACTGTGCTTAATATGCAATAATAGCAGTAAGTGTACACTTGTATATTATAGAAGATTAGCTATGTCTCCATTTTTATTTTTTAATCAAAATGTGAGATCATTATTATCCTCTTGGCTTAAATCCAGTTCACTTTAGCTGTGGCTGAATAACATTACTATCTATGAGGGGTGATGTTTCTCAACTTTTGTTTCATTACTATGTTTCATTAAGAAAAAAACACTAAATTCAAATTCTCCTTAACAAGAGAAATTAAATACTATGGAATAAGATTCTGGAAACCACTGTAATACCTCTAAGATTTTAAAAATCCTCCCTCCCTGACTATGATCCATTTTTGTCCCCTTGGGGCTAATATATCCTCCACTGAGAATGCACAAGGCTCTGAGATGAGTTAGTGGTGTCATTGTCGTTGCTGGAAGACATCAGAAAACCTTTCTTCGGCATCATGGCAAGGATATTACCACATGTTACAGATAAGAAAACTGATGTGAATGGTCAGCAGAAAGGTGAAGAGAGATCCCGGCTGTGGAAAACAAAGCCCTGTCCTTCCAGGGGCTTCCTTCAAGAAGAGTGTGAACATTGGTTGAATTTGGTTTGAAGATAAATTTGGTTTTCACAGGAAGAAAGTGCTCCATAACTACTTAGAAAGGGACCCTCACTTAGAAGTTTCTTCGATATCCAATGAGGATGTTTGAGTGGACTCTTTTATTACCTCTTACAGGTCTAGACTGACATCCTGGCCGATTTAGTTTCACAGGACACCATCAGTTATTTTCTTTTCTTTGTTTCTTTTGACACCTCTAATGATTCCAGATTGTCATCTGTGCCAGGTAGGTATGCATACTGATACAAAAGAGGTAGGAGAATGAACAAAAGTATATAGAACCACAGAGATATGGTGCTGTGGGAAGGGGTAGATCCTTGCGCTGTTTTCCTGACTAACTGATTAGTGTGCAAAGAACTCTGACAGAGTGAGCGTGTTTGACAAGCATGGGAAATTGTTTCCTGGTTAATAAATAGACTTTGCCACATTGGATGCTTGCAGGATGTTTGGGTGAATAGAGTCTTACTCACTTCTACATTGAGAAACTTTCTGGACTTCCAATTGTTGACTTTTAAAAGGTATTTTTTTTATTGTTTTAAAAAACATATAACATAAATTTACCCTCAAATAATTTTTATGTGTACAATATAGTTTATATATATATATATTACATATATATTGTTATATGAACATTGCTGTACAATATTGCTAGCATTTTTTCATCTTGCAGGACTGAAACTCTGTACCCACTGAATAATAATTGCTCATTATCCCTTCCCTCATCTCCTGGCAACCACCATTCTACTTTCTGTTTCTATGTGTATGATTACTCTAGGTATCTTATATAAGTGGAATCATACAGTATTTGTCTTTTTGTAATTGGATCATTTCACTTAGTATAATGTCCTCATGATTTATCCATATTGTAGCATATGACAGAATTCCCTTCCTCTTAAAGGCTCAATAATATTCCATTATGTAACATTTTCTTTATCCATTTGTCTGTCAATGGATGCGTGAGTTGCTTCCACATCTTGGCTGTTGTGAATAAAACTGCAAATGTGCACGGGTGTGCAAAAATCTCTTTGAGATCCTGTTTTTAATTCTTTCAAATCTATAGCCAGAATGGGATTACTGGATCATTAAAATGGTAGTTTTGCCTCATTTGAAACTGTGGGCGAATCTGCAGCCTTAGTTTCCAAAGCCCTTGTCCCTAAGTCAATGCAGGAGCACACCACAAGCAGCTTGTTCCCAAGTCTCCAGATCTGCTTGTTGTTGAGAGATGGCTGTGCCTGCATTCTTCCCATTTTACCTCACCCCATGGTCACATTCCTTTGTCCGAGTTTTATTTTTTTCAATGACTTGTGCCTGGATTCAAGATTTTTCATGATGTTTTCCCACTTGGCTCTCCTTGCTTATTCTTCAGCTGCACCAGACACATTCGATGCACAGAAACAAATCCAGGATAAACACTCCAAGTGTGTGCAGCATTGCTAAGTGTAATAAATAACCACCTCCAGCCAACCTCAAATGTGAACAATCAAAATTTTATGATGTAGGGTTTGCAATAGAAATATGTTCTGTCCATATACAATCACCAGGCATATATACATAGACTATATGCTTAAATAAAAAGCTACTTAGTACCTTTATACATAAACCCCAATGAAGTGTTAAATGCCATTAATATAGGCAAGCTTGTGGAATTCCAAATCATCATTGTGCTACAATCTTTTTCAACCACTTTAACTAAATGAAATTTGAGAGTAGTGAGTAGGGGTGGACAGGGGGTGGAGGAGGAAGGTGATGGTTTTAACCTTTTAAAAGGAAGGGAGAGAAAAGAAACAAAAACATCCTCACTCCTTTCTTTTCCTGCTTTAAGTGGAAATTCCACCTGGGTCATTTCAAGAGGAAGTTACTGTCAGTGGTGGTGATATTTAGGTGTAAATTACTAGAAACATCTAAGGCACGGTTTTCATCATTAACAGTAGCCACAGTACCAGAGAGTTTTTATGTCTATCTTTAGAGAGAAAAGGCAAAGACCACCAAGGAGCATGCAATCTTGAAGAAAAATGATGTTTGGAAAACTGGAACCACATGAGGTAACCCCATTAATCACAATGCATGCATACAAGATCTGACAGTATAATTCAAAGGAAAGTTGCATTCAACGGTCGGTCCATAACATGGGGCAGAGAGTATAGAGATTCTATATGCGAAGCTGGAAAAATAAAGCATTTTAACTTTGATTCCATTTTTAAAAAAAAAGTCTCAGAATTTGGTCTCAATGCTGGTGGTACATCTTGCATGCTCCAAATTCCCACAATTCACTACCCAAATCAGAAACAGAATTTTTCTCCAAAGAACTTCTCAGATTGCTCAAGAAAATATCATTTGTGCCCATCAGAGTGATGAAACTGGAAAGGACACCAGGCCCTGAGCCAGATCAAAGCTGTCCTGATCAGCAAATTAGATTTTCAGCCTTTGCCGGATCAGTAGCAGATGGTTTTTTGGACTCCACAAAGTCAGGGATGTCATCTTTTTTCGGTGAGAAATGGCAGGTATTGTTCGGGTCTCGTCAGGCTCCTCTGAGAAGAGCTATCACTTTTACTCATCCTAAGTTCTTATTTCCTAATATTTCACATTTCATTATTTGAGCTGATTGGACCTTTGATTTTAGCCTGTCGATGTAATTCTCCAGGGAATCTTGATGCAGAATGACTTTGGCCTTAACTGACAAGCCTTTATAGCAATCCCACAGTTAGGAGCTTCACTCTCCCAGATACCTTACGATCTGTTTTATTTTGAAGGTACCATATTGTCTCATGTTTGTTAAAAGAGCAACTGAACAGATATTTTTAAAACATGAAATGATTCTACTGTCTGTTTCTGGTGTTGATTTTGATTTGGATTAGAAATGTGCCAAGAAAGCTGTTTCAGACACAGCTATGGGGGATAAGGGCAGAAACCAAATGTTAAATGTGTCAATGAATAAAATAGAAGAAGCTGATTTATCAAGCACAGTAAAATAAAAAAAGGAACTGAGAACCAATGAATGCTTTTTGTGTCTACAGAAGTCACAAACATTGGTGTAAAATTCAATCATGACAAGTCCGTACAAAATCCCACTCCTATGTTGCTAAAACAATCTGTAAATGTGAAGTGCAAATGCAATATTTTGCTTACAAATGTGAGGTTGCTATCACTAAACAAGGAGCCCATCTTGTATCATTTTTTTATCTCCATAATGTTCAGCTCAGTTCCACGTACCAACAGGGGCACAATATTTATTTGCTAAGCTGAGTTGCTAAAATCAAGCTCCTTTATACTTATTTTATTCTATACGTTAAACTCTCCCGCTCATTAGAAAACACCTCAAGGTCACTTCTTTTTCGACTACCCAAACAAAACTCACAGAAATTTATAATCAGTCTTATGTGTGTATGTGTATATATACAATTCAGGGATTAAAACAAAGTACAGCTATTACTCTCACAAATACTCCACGTTGAATATCCCTTATCTGAAAGGCTTGGGATTCAGAATTTTTCAGATTTCAGATTTTTTCCAATTTCGAAATATTTGCATTACACTGGTTCGACGTCTGTAATCCAAAAATCCAAAATCTGAAACATTTTGGGCATCAAAATGACACTAAAAGGAAATGCTTACTGGAGTATGTTGGATTTTCGAATTAGGAATGCTCAACCTATTACCACCCACTATCAGTTTCACAGCTTCTCCTAAAACTACCACCATGAGCAACTTGCAGTGAGGCAATGTGCACAAGGGGGTGTGTGTGCGCGTGTGTTTGTATAAAATGAAATATAAACC